ATGGCTTAAATAAGTGCATAAAATATACTTATCAAATTATTTTCTAGATTCATCATTCGCATTCATGGTATTGCATATTTGTTATTTGATGGTTATGTATTGCATTTTTTTTATTTATGATTTATCTAGCATTTCTCCTATGTTTATGTTTATAAGGTCGTTTACGCCAATATTTTCTTGTTATAGTGTGTACAATAACTCATATTGACCCGTAGAAGTAAAAATCCTGTTCAGTCAGGAGTGGGGACATTATTCCATTTGTGCCATATTCTTATGTTATCAGATTATTGCACTGTTTATTCTGCTGCATCTTTATTTCAGCTGCAAATATATTATGTAGAGAGCTAAACTTGATTTTTACTCTCTGTTTGAAATGGCAATATTATTTTTCATTTGCCTGTGTTGGTCATGTTTTGGCTAAGTTTCAAGAGTATACTATAAGTTGATTAGCGAGTCTTAAAATAAATAAATTTTTTATTGGTGAAAGTTGGAAATAAATAAATACTTATTTGACAGTTACTAACAAAAAGTTCCTTGAAAGAGGACTTCGATTAGATGTCAAATAAAATTCTAATTAAGTTGGTGTTGGACTTAGTAGTGACAAAATGGAATTATTTATTTTAGTAACCAACTTTGATTAGGTTTTTTAAGTTCACTATTTAACTGTTTTTCACTTTGATATGTGCATTGCATAGTGGGTCATGAGTTCTTCAAAACGATACTAAGAACTTACCCCCAATGATCAAGAAATATAACACGAAAGTAAGCCAAAAGTTGCAACGACAACTAATAATATTTCTTTTTAACTCATTTTGTGCAAAAATATTTATCTCGATGGGGTCTTTACAGACCCTCTCACATGAGGTGAGTCCCACCCCATTAAAAAAAATACCCCAAAAATATCCCACCCCCCATGTTGTGAGGAGCTTGTGGTGGTTCTGTACTTGGCACTACAGCAAGCTCCATTTGCAAATTGAAAGGTACATTATGAAGTAGGTAGTGAGTACTTCAAAACGGTACCATGAATATTTTTACAATGAGTACTACAATATTGAATTGGACGTAAGTATTATAGTAAGTAAATGTCGATGACCTTCAAATCTAGTTTTATGTAAAAAAAATTTATAATAGATTTTTTGAAAAGTATTTTTTTTTAAAAAAATAAATTGTTAAAAGTATGGAAAAATTATGAATTCACGTGCAAATTTGTTTTACTGCTAAATAATTCCGTAGGACCACCAAATCGTTAATTGTGACTCACCGCTTATAAACACTTAAAATGGCAATTTGACACAAAATAACTCTATGCTTTACACATTTTGTGCAAAACAACCATATTATTTTGTTTTGACACAACACCCTCTCAGTTCAAGCAAACTTAATGCAAAGCAATTCTATAGTCCAATATCTCCATTAAAGCTTTGTAAAATGACAAATTTACTCTTCTCTTTAAATTTACCCTATCTTTAGATTTTGTTTGCTGCAAAGCTTGATTTGGATTATATGTTCAACAAGTCAAATCATCCATGTTTACTTGAGATTTGGAAATGCTTGGTACGATTAGGTAAATTGAAGAAAACTAGATGGAGAGAAGTCCCCTGATTTTGCAATAACAGGGGGGATTTCCCCTTATGTTCCTGACTTGCTACCCCCTAATTTTATAGCAACGGATCCTTCCTGTTATCGCAAGATCGACTATATTCACGTTTTAATGGGTGTTCACAGTGCTCTCAAGCAAGGATGGTGTACAGAGTTGAAGTCGTCAAGGTTGGAGAATAAGAAGAATGTTCTCTACTCTTTTTTTTTTCATGGGACCCTTGATGGAAGGGAGAGAGCTGAGTGGTGGTAGTGGAAGGTGGTTGGGTATGGGGGAGGTGGGGGTTTGTTGGAGAGGAAAGAGATGTTTATATGGGAAGTGTTATGTGTACACACAGCATTACACCCCCCTAACATGGAAGGGGGTCCACGATTATTTTATTGTATGTAAGCCCTTTCTATGTAAGGAGAGTGTAATGCTGTGTGTACACAATTGTGTATACATAGTGTTGACCACCAAACTCCGATCTCATGAGAAATGATCACAGGCCCCACCTCAAGCAGATGTGAGTTCGGCTAAAACCCCCAGATTGGATTTGTCGTCGTAATCTCATGAGACATCATGATTACCCCTTATCACATCAACCTCTCATATCAACCCATTCGTCAGGAGTGATGTCACCGCCGTCCATCTCGGAATCTTCAAGTTGCCTGAGGGTCATCATTATCTGAGGAAAACATTAACACATGGCCACCAAACTCGTCCACCAATCATAGGAGAATTCAACGACCCGTGTTCCGAGCACGATACTGTAGCTGATTTGACTTATTGATGTAATTTCGGCCGAAAACATGTATAAATAGTAGAGAAATTGTTACCCCAAGGACAAGGGAATTTATATAAAAAACCATTACACTATTACATTTTCTCAACTGATTTATGACCCATTTAGCAATAACTCGCCATTTTTCTTAAAGTTGGCTCAAGATCAGTCTTACAAATTTTGACGTCAACAATTTAGCACTAGAAGAAGGTCCCCAAATGTGAAGAATAGCCCCATTCTCCCCAAAGAATCGGAGAGCCATGAGCCATAGTTCCAGAAATCCATCTCATACCCACCCTCATGAAACTAATACTCCGCCAAGTTCTCCAAGATGACAAGACCAACAAATGACAGTCATGAGGGAAGCTTTGGAAAAATTGACAAATGCAGTGGGATGATTGGAATAGAGTCAAACCTGCTTGTCCCCAATAGATACCGAGGTGGAATCCCCTACAAGGACAAAGGCAAGACGTCCCTCCACCAGGAGGACTCTCCACTTTTCAAAAGGAGAATCTTCAAGAAGCCGAACTGACGAAGTAAGGAGTATGGATCCTGCGACAAGGAGGACTGGCAGTGTGTTCGATAGGTTGGGGACCCAGCACTTGCTAACCCCTACGCTAGGACAAGCTGAATCCGACCTCAAACGTCCTCTAGAATAGGTAGAACCCGAACTGAGCGCACTGAAATGACACATCGCTGACCTGGAGGCAAAAAACAGAGGCGGCATTGAAGACTACCTCACAAAGCGACATTCCCCTTTTACAAAGGACGTCCTTATGGAACCATTACCTAAAAAATTAAAATTCCCCAGATGACAGCATACGAAGGAGACGAGGATCCCCTCAGCCACCTTGATAAGTACACCTCGTGGGTGGAACTGTAGGGGGGCAAGCGATGCCATCATGTGCCGGGCTTTTCTCCTGACCCTAGGAGACAAAGCATAGAGATGGTTCAGGAGACTGCATCAGAGGTCTCTAAAGAATTGGAATGACCAGGCCACAGCATTCTTGGCCCAGTTCATGGGCTCCAAAGCTAGAACCACGCCAAAGGAGTGGCTAGTAATTATCAAGTAGGGAAAAAGTGAATCCTTCAAAAGCTATCTGAGCAGATTCAATAAACAATCCATGAAAATGGAAAAAATATCGGACGACGCCGTTCTCATGGTCGTACAGGTTGGGCTGAGGCCAAGAACGAGATTCTGGTGGTCGGTACACGAGGACGATCCAAGAACTTATCACGAGTTCTTGAACCGAGCTGAGAAATAGATAAGTACTAAAAAAACAACCTCTAACCAAGAGGAAACCAGATGTGATCCCGACCTCAGCAATACGGCGAAAGAGAAAAGTTTAATAACAGTCCCAGTTTGAAAAGAAGAAAGATAGAAAAGAAAGAGATTGTCCTAAGGCTCGACTATACAATTTTCGAGAGTATCACCCACTCAAAGTTTCCTTGGAAGAGGTATTCATGCAAACTAGAGAGAATGAGGCATTCCGCAGGCGGATAGTCCCGAATAATAGGCAGGTAGGACACCAACAAGGACGATACTATCAATATCACAAGATGGTAAGTCATGACACTGATAGCTGCCTAGAATTGAAGGAGGAAGTTGAGTCCTTAATTCGCAGAGGTCGATTACAAGAATTCGTTACCAAACCAAAAGAAGCAGACCAACCTCAACCACAACCGCCTTTGCGGTAGGGACCACCTGCACAAGCTCAACAGGCGGTTCCTAATCACAATCCACTCCCACACGTCGAAATCAAAATGATGGTCGGAGGAAACCAGTACGTTGAAGGATCCAGATGGATAAGACGAAGACAAGCCTAAAATGCACGAACCATGTCAAACTATGGGGAATAGACCCCGTAGGTCGGTATAGACCCTGAATGGTTCTGGTTAATAGAGGAAGATTTCCAAGGAATCCTCCAAGATCAAAGAGACGCCCTAGTGATCACCATGCCAGTTGTCGGGGTAAAAGTCCACCGGACATTGGTAGATAATAGAAGTTCAGTCAATATACTGTACTCATGAACTCTGTCAGTTGGAAATATCGAAACACTATCTTCAACCATACTTAAGGAAACTGTAAGGATTCTCTGGAGATCCTATCAAAGCCCAAGGTTAGATAGTCCTTGTTGTAGAACTAGGCGAAGCTCCTCGCTAAAGAAAGATTCTAGCAGATTTCGTGGTAGCCGATCTGCCATCCAACTATAACGCGATATTGGGACGACCCATATTGCACGAGCTGAAAGCCACCACATCAATTTATCATTACTGTATGAAGTTTTCCACCCCCTACGGGACCAGAATAGTCCAAGGGGATCAGGCTAGGGCTAGAGCGTGCAATATCGACCTGTCTAAACCAAAAGTCAACATGCTAAAGGATAGGGCAAACACACAAGCCGGGGAAACCAGACTAGAGAGGCCAATCGTTGCGGATCTCTCTGAGATCGGCATAGTAGAAAAGCATCTCCAGAAAGCCATGGATGACCAATTGTCCTTTGAAGAAAAAGAGGTAGACCCATATCCCTACCTCGGAGTTCTGGTAATCTCATTACCTATAGCAGGGTAACCATCCTAAAAGTCTTGGTGGACACAGAGAGTGCTTTCAACATTCTCTTTAACAACACTCTCAAATGGATGGGCATGCCTGCCAACTTCCTGAGGCCATACTCAAACATGGTCCTTGGATTAAGCGGAGCCGTGACTACGGCTAAAGGATCGATCAAACTTAAAGTCGAGTATGGATCAACGTCCTATCAAGTTAAGATGAACTCCGAATTCATCGTGATCGACACTCTTTCGCCTTATGGCGCTGTCATGGGACAACCCCTGATATTCAGCTTGAAAGCAGCAATGTCCCTATACTACTATTCAATTAAATTCTCCACACCCCATGGTGTAGGTGAAGTTAAAGGAAATAGAAAATTCGTCGAAAAGTGTCAACTAAAAGCCTACGTGGGTGATCAATGCACCCTCCCAAGAGTGTATATGGCTCATGTAGGAGAGCCCGAGCTCGGTTCACTAGACCCACAGATCAAAATCAAAGGAGAAAAACTCGTGGAAGAGCTGGAGAAAGTTCAAGTTTGTGCCAATGACCCATCAAGAAAACTCAAATTAGGACGCGAGCTGTAGTTCTTTATCCAAAGTGAAATTATTAATTTTCTCAGACAGAGCCTCGATGTCTTCGCCTGGAACCATGGAGACATGGGGGGATAGAGCCCAACATTATATGCCACAAATTTCAAGTGGATCTCTCAGTTCGATCGAAGCAACAAAAACGACGACCTCTAAATCTCGAAAGATATGAATCACTCAACAAGAAGGTGCAGAAACTATTGCACAACGGTTTCCTTCGAGAGACAAAATATCCCAAGTGAGTCGCACATCTGGTTCTTGTGAAAAAGCACAACGGATATTAGAGAGTATGCATAGATTTCACCAACTTCAAAAAAGCATGCCTTAAAGATACCTTCCCCTACCAAGAATAAATCAAATGGTGGATGCCATAGCAGGGCATGAATTACTCAGCTTCATGGACGCGTACTCTAGATACAATCAGATATCGATGTATGGACCAGATCAGGAACATACATCATTTGTCATTGATCAAGGTCTGTACTGCTATAGGGTAATGTCATTTGGTCTCAAAAATACTGGGGTCACCTATCAACGACTTGTGAATTGCATGTTCTCCCAACATATCGAAAAAAATAATGGAATATATGTTGATGACATGTTAGTCAAAAGCACCAAAGCCAAAGATCATTGTCAACACCTGACCGAGATGTTCGATATTTTGAGAAAGTACAGAAAGAAGCTGAACCCTAAGAAATGTGCCTTTGGGGTCAGCTGTGGAAAATTCCTAGGATACATTGTAAATAATCGAGGAATCGAAGCAAATTTTGAAAAAATACGAGTTGTTATCCAAATGAAGGCCCCAACCAAACCCAGAGGGGTGCAAAGTTTGATAGGAATGATTGCTGCCCTCAACCGGTTCGTCTCTAAATCTACGGACCGATGCAAACCCTTCTTCGACATACTGTGAGGGGGAAATAAGTTTGAATGGACTAAAGAATGCCAAGAAGCCTTTAACGAATTAAAGAAACAGCTAGCTCAACCCCCACTGCTGTCAAAGACTAAGGCTGGCGAGGCCTTGAAGTTATATCTATCTGTTTCAGAACATGCCAGCAGTGCCGTCCTAACTCGGGAAGAGAACGACGTCCAACACCCAGTCTATTACGTGAGCAAGGCGCTCCACAAAGTCGGGCTACGATACTCGACCTTAGAAAAACTATCGTTCGCCTTAGAACACCCCATCGAAGTCCTCACCAGCTTTCTATTAAGACAAACATTGCAAAGACCCGACACTTCAGGTCGGATGGTAAAATAGGCAGTAGAGCTCGAACAATTCGACATAAGGTATATGCCCCGTTCCTCCATCTAAGGCCAAGCGCTCGTCGACTTCGTCTCCGAGTTCTGCAACGTACCTATCGATGAACCATCAAAAGAGACTCCTTGGGAACTTTATGTTGATGGTTCATCTACCGGAGAACAATCTGGGGCTAGCGTTGTATTAATTAGCCCAGAACAACGCATATTTGGTAAAGCCCTGCCTTTTGACTTCAAAACTTCAAATAATGTGGCCGAGTATGAAACTCTCATTGTCGGAATAATGATGGTCTTAAGGTTAGGAATTCCCAACCTTATCATACACAGAGACTCCCAACTAGTCGTAAATCAAATCAACGGCGTATATCAGGTGAAAGAAGAAAGAATGGAAAATTACCTACGGGTCGCAAGGAAAGAGCTCAAAAGCTTCAATGCTGTCCAAGTCAAGTAAATTCCTCGATCTCAGAATAGCCACGCTGATGCTCTGGCTCACCTAGCCACCAGTGAGAGGATTGAAGAATTTGATAGCATCATCGTGAGAAGAATATTACTATCGGCCACTGAATTAGCCGAAGTAGCCCTCATGATGATAGATCCCAAACCAATTTGGTAGGAGGAGATCATCGCAGGCCTGAAGATCGGGAAATGCCTCGAAAACTTGGTAGATGCGAGAAAGCTCTGAATCAGGTCAGCCAGATACACTTATTGATAATGTCCTCTACAAGTGGGGATATTCTACACCCTTACTGAGGTGTTTAAATAAAGAGGAAGCACAACATGCCCTGCGAGACGTTCACAAGGTAATATGTGAAAATCATTCTGGTGGACAATTGTTCGCCCAGAAGATCCTACGTCAAAGATATTTCTAGCCTGCCGTAAGACGTGACAACCTTGAGTTTGTTAAAAGATGCGACAAGTGCCAGCACCTCGTCCCCATCATAAACACTCCGTCGTGCAAACTGAACTCGATAACAGCACCTTGGACCTTTGCAAAAATGGAGGGTCGACCTGATTGGACCTATGCCCACTGGAAAGAGAAGTGAGAAATTTGCAATCGTTGCAGTAGATTACTTCACCAAATGGGCTGAGGCAGAGCCATTTGCCAAGATTATCGAAAAAAACTTACTTTCTATGGAATCAATCATCTGTAAATTCGGCATACCTCACTCCATCGTCACGAACAATGAAAAACAATTCGACAATGCCTATCTTTTAGACTTTTGTGAAGAGTTCGGCATCAAGAAACATTTCTCAACACCGAACTACTTGTAGGAAAATGTCCAAGTTGAGGTCATTAACAAAATCATTAAACACACATTCAAAGCAAAACTTGATGTGTTTAAAAGGGGATGGGCCGAAGAACTCCCTAGTGTGCTTTGGTCATATCACACCACTACAAGGACTAGCACGGGAGAAACCCCCGTTCTCAGTGGCTTTCAATGTAGAGGTTGTAATCCTACTAGAGGTTGACATTCTCTCATTTCGCATAACTACTTATGATGAAAAAAAGAATCATATGGCTCTACATGCAGAACTCGACCTTGCTGAAGAGAAAATAAACAACGCTAAACTCAAAAATGCCGTTGACAAATAACGAAACGCCAAGTATTACAATCAGAAAGTACGAAAAAGAGAATTCGAAATAGGATCCCTAGTCCCACCAAAGGTATTCCTCGCCACGAGAGGGACCGACAGCGGATACCTGGGACCAAACTGGAAGAGTCCCTATTTGAGCTAAGGTCGTAAGTACTACAACTTTTAGTGGAAATTCCTCCTCGAGAATTCTCAAAAGCCCTGCCCTATGTGCAGGCCGAGTTAAGGTCGTAAGTGCAACGACTCTTAGTGAAAATCCCTTCTCAGGAATTCTCAAAAGCCCTGCTCCATGTGCAGGCTGAGCTAAGGTCGTAAGTGCTATGACTCTTAGTGAAAATCCCTTCTCAGGAATTCTCAAAAGCCCTGCTCCATGTGCAGGTCGAGCTAAGGTCATAAGTGCTACGACTCTTAGTGAAAATTCCTCTTCAAAAATTCTCAGAAGCCTTGCTCCATGTACAGACCGACCTAAGGTTGTAAGTGCTACGACTCTTAATGGAAATTCCTTCTTAGGTCGCGATAAGCTCATTATGGAATTTTAATCAAAATTTATATAAAGGCAGGCAAGTCGATCAAACAATAATCAAGATATTCAGTAAGAAGCCATTAAACTAAACAAAAACAAGTGATGCTTAGGGTCAAAAGTACTATTAAAACAATGATGTGTTCGAATACCATGTTGCAAACAGTCATTACAAAACACCATAAGCAAGAAGTATATAAAGTTCATCAATCTAAGAAGAACTAGGGGGAGGAGGACCTGTCTATAGGGGAGAACGTCCTTAGGAACAGCAGTAGCATCTTCATCAGCAGGAGAAACCCGAACTCTAGCTTCCTCAGTCAATTGTTGGAGTTCTTTCTTCTGCTCTTCTACCTCCTCCTCAAGGAACGCCACATCAAACCCAGGTCTTTCCTTACGAATGTGCTTGATGACCTCTTCTAGTGCCACAACATAGGCATCCTAGGCCAAAGCATCAAATTCAGAAAATGACCTCCAGAGCTCGACCGCCCTCACAACCTTTGCCTCAGCTTCTTCCACTTTTTTGTTCGCCACCCTCACCCTATCGTTCTCCTCCCGCACCTTCCTCACTGCCCTTTCCACCCGGGCTCGCTCCTCCTCAAGCCTCTTTCACTCTACCTCAGCCCTATGTGTGGCCTTCTCCCCCAAAGCTCTCAGATTTCTAATCTCCTTTTGCAGCTTCGCCTCAGAATCCAGCTCAACACCCATCTTATTCAACCTATCCTCATAATCCTTCTTCTTCGCAGCAAAGTGAGCCTTCTCCCTTTCCATGTCTTGATAAAGGCTTAGCGCTTGATCCTTAGCCTCCAGTAACTTGTTGATTTCGACTTTCAACTGATCCAAAGTCAAATAAATCTATTAGACATAATACACTATAAAATAAGTGTAAAAATTCGAATAATGTACCTTATCAGCTACTGCCATAATATACAAGACAGATCGGTGGCTGTGTAGTTGAGCTGTGACAATGGCCTCCCCAAGTGGCATCTCATTCAAAAAACTCTACTCCCTATCATTCCAACTCCTGGTTAAGAGATTGGTAGAATCACGTAGTAAAGGGGCAAGGGTAGTCGTTGTTTCCCTAGAAGGGGACGGAGCCCGGAGGAAGTCTAGTAGTATCTCAGATCGATGGCCCACCATGCCATCCACACTCGACCTCTGCAAATTAGGGTACCTCTCCTGAGGTCGGCTGTAGCTACTTGTGGCAGTGGGAGGAATAGAAACAGGCATCACTGGAGTTGGTGATGGCAGGAAAGAGAATACTGGAGTCAGACTGGGCGGATTTGTAGAGATCGGCTCAAGGACCGAGGTTGCAGTCGGCGTAGAAGTTCGATTTCTCTTTAAAGGAGGGACCTCCTCTTCGGTCTCCTCAGATCGATTCTCGGGCCGATCTGAAACCTCAGTTCGCTTTTCCTTAGCCACCACTGCCGCTTTATACTCCAACATTTCTTGGCAACGAACTGAAAATACATGCATAAAATATTCAGTATTTTCATATAATTTTAGTAAGGGAATAAAGCATTTCAATTCTTACCAGGGCTAGCTTGGGCTGATGCAGAAGGCTGTGCTGAAGTTTGACTTGAGGAGACGGTCTAAATCAAACTCGCTCTGAATAAGTTTGAATTAGAGATCACATATGTACAAGACCTTTGTCTTTTTGGAAGGGCCCTTATAACCTCAGCTCGTCTCTGAGTATCTTTGGTTAAGGTCGTCTTCTTGTAATCTGCAAAACAAAACAAAGGTGATCAGTAAATTCTTCAATGTCAACTCTGACTTAAGTATGAAGGGAGCGTTGCTTACACAAAGAATGGTAGAGTTTGGGAACAAAATCTTCCCTATTCACCTGGGCAAGGTGGAACTCTCAGTCCCCTGACACATAGAACAATTCCTCTTTCCATTTCTTAATCGAAGAAGGAGTGTCTATTACTAGGGAACCACTATTCCTAGGTCTAACACTGGTGTATCACCAGCCGAAATTCCTACCGTCTTCTTTAAAGGTAAAAAAAGAATTGAACTATTCGACACCGAGCTCAGGATTTCCTAACTGGTTCCATAAAATCAAGGTGGCAATCAGTCCGCCACCCATTGGGGCATAGCTGTGTCGGAGCTATACCCCAGTAGGAAAGAAATTTACGTATGACCCTAGGAATGGGGAACCTAAGGCCAGCTTGTAAAATGGTAGAGTTTAAGGCTACACACCGTACGGGTGGTTTATCAGCCCGGTCGAAAGGTTTGAGGATTATCATTATGACCGAGCTGGGAATGCCATAGTTGCATTTCCAGCTCGCCAGCATATCTCCCGTTTCGACAGACCTATAGGAATTGGCTCCCTACTCTTCATGGGCATTCCCCTCACTACCTTCATGAGATTCTACCTTCTCACCGCCTAAATCCACCCCATTTCCCTAGGTCGAGCTATAGTAACTAGGTTAACAACCAAAAGGGGAATGGGGCGAAGATCTCTCCACAACTAGAAGACGAGCTGGAATTGGAAGGGACTGATTCTTCCTGCTGGTTTTCCCAGGAATGAACCCTAGATTCGTTCGAACTCATATAAAATCAAGATGAAAATGTGCATTGAAAGGACGAAGAAAAGATGCAGAAGAATACCTGGGAACTGAAGAAAAAATGACCTCACTTAAGATTAAAGATGGACGGACTAAAAGATTTTTCTTGCTACTTTGGAGAGGAAAAATCACATAAAGTAGGGTAAAACAGAGGCTCAAAAAGAATTTAAAAAGACGGAAGATTAAAAGGCTTAATCCAAGACATCCGTCCAAAAGATGGAGGGAAAAATTGATAGACTAGATGTAATCAGCCTGAAACTTCCCAAAGAAGCCACCATAAGTTGCGTACAGCTCATCACCATCACAACACGACACTTGGCACTATAATAATTACACTTCCTGGGAAAACACCAACCAAGTTAAAAGGTCAATCTCCCTTACAGTAGAACTGACCTGGGGGGTAACTATTGACCACCAAACCCCGATCTCATGAGAAACGATCGCAGGCCCCACCTCAAGCAAATGTGAGTTCGGCTAAGACCCCCAGATCGGATTTGCTGCCATAATCTTAGGAGACATCATGATTACCCCTTGTCACATCAACCTCTCAAATTAACCCATTTGTCAGGAGTGACGTCACCGTCGCCCATGGCCACTAATCCCTAGCTTGGAATCTTCAAGTTGCCTAAGGGTCATCATTATCTGAGGAAAACATTGACATATGACCACCGGCCCCGTTGACCAATCATAAGAAAATCGACGACCTGAGTTTCGAGCTCGATACTATAGTTGATTTGACTGATTTGATGTAATTTCGACTGAAAACATGTATAAATAGTAGAGAAATTGTTACCCCAAGGACAAGGGAATTCATAAAAAACCATTACACGATTACATTTTCTCAACTGATTTATGACCCATTTAGCAATAACTTGCCCTTTTTCTTAAAGTTGGCTCAAGATCAGTCTTACAAATTTTGACGTCAACACATAGCATTTTCCATAAAGTATTTGTGGGCTGCCCTCCATGTGAGGGGGTGTAATTCATTGTAAGGTGTACACATAGAATTATCCTATTTATATTGCCCTTGTCTAAAGCCAATTTTTGGGCAAAAAAAATGAATTTTCTTATCGTTGGCGGTCGTCGTTTTAGACCGCCACTCTCATGTGTGGGTCCCCATTAACCAAAAATGGTAGAAAAATTGAATTCTTTTTGGGGGTTTAGAAGCTACAGCAAACATGCTCATATATTTAGGACTTTAACTGCAATTATTTCTTTTATTTTTTGTATTTATTTAAAAAGGAGAGTAAAATCGTCATTTTACAAGGTTTTGCTAGAGAAATTAAACGGCAGTTGTCTTGCACAACATTTGCATGATCTTAGAGGCCATTGCGCCAAAATGAAATGATTGGTTTGCACAAAGCATGTAAAGGTAGGGTTATTTTATACCAATTACCCTACTTAAAAGCTTAGCTAAGTAAGCAGTTGTCTTTATTCAACTATTTTATATTACCATAAGACTTCGTATTTGACTAAATATGTGCACGCCACATGTTTAATAACTACACCATATTTAATTGCATGAAAGGTTTAATAATTTTTTTCGGTGCATTCTTATTCTCAAGTTAACATAAATATCCATTATGACTATTTTCGTCCAAAACTTTTGTTAAAATGAAGTAAGAAGGCTTATTTATCCATCTCATTTTTAAATAAGCAGAAAACTAAAAAGTAAATTAAGACTAAATATTAGTACCTCGGTTTAAAGCATGTTAATAGTATACTTGGTCGAAAATCATGATTAATGACAAGATGTTAATGAAAAGTTAAAAATAAGAATATGATAATAAAAATGTAAAAGATATAAATATGACAAAAAATGAAGATTAAGAACAGTTAAAATGTGATATATTTATAAAAAAGATGTGGATATTATAAAATTAAGAGTTAAAAAAAATGAGTAAAAACTCAAATGTGTATTTTATTGTAACAATAACTTTAATATAGAGTTTCAATGGTAGTTACAACCCGAATAGAATACAATCAATAAGATTTATCTAAGTATCATGATAAAAATAAAAAGTCATCAATAATTATCTCATAATTTTACAACAATTTCCTTTGATGATTATTTGCATAATAACTGCCTCGTTACAATTATTATTTATCAAAAATCTAGTAGAACAAAAAAAATTAATAAATAAAATAAGGTAAATAAATCTAGTAGTACATTACATATTACGACTTCATTTTTCTTGTTTACTTTTTACATAAGTGTACACATATAAGTGTTTGAACTGTAGGTCTAGAAATTTCAAGTTTCTCTAGTAAGCTCAATTTTGCTAGGATTGTGTCTTTTTATTTGACCAATTATTTCTACATTTATATTCTTCGATGAATTTTCTTAATATCCTTGCCATAATTTATAATATGAAGCGATACATTATATACAAAAATATTATCAACAATTTATTTCTTTTCGATTCCAATTCTTTCCTCCATAATGATGATATAACTTATTGACATATTTCATTTTTTGATATTTAAGGTACCTAAACCTCTTTTGAAATTTTACAATTTGTTGTGTATACATTCTCCAATGTTTTTAAAACTAGACCGGACCAGCCAATTCAACTAAAAAAATTGAGAATTGAACCAAAATTCGATCCAGTTATTAAAAAAATTAACCGTTTAATAAAAAACCGATTAGTTAAATCAGAAACAAGGTATCAATCACGATTTTAACGATTGGACCAATTTCCAAAATGAAATTTTTTAGAAAAAAATGATTATATAATAAAAAGGTTACCTTGGAGATAGCAACCCATTTTCCTACCCAATGGAGTTCTTTCATATCCATTTCTTGAATCACATAATTGATAAACTTTTCAATTTGGGATTAACTAACTTAAAAAAAGCACGTATTTTCAATACACTTTCGATGGGCGGTTGACAAATTTAAATAAAGCACACGTGTTCAATATTATTTATGGCCACATGGTGCAATTTAGTAAAATTGGAATGAGTTTTTAAGCGATCCAACATATTAAAAATTAATAATTTTTATATTAAAAAATATACATTTCACAGATTTGTATTTATTTTGAATTGATGGTGTAAAAATTTAATAATATTGTTGTCAAAATAAAATTAATGCCCGCGTGTGCGCACACACACCCTAATTGAACCTTTTGACCCTCTACTCTTTTTCTTTTTTGAATCGATACTTGGGTCGAATTTTAATACATTGATATACTCACCAACTGTATACGCCTCCACATGGGACAATATTCATCATTTGTCCTATTTTTCTTTTGGAGATTTATTTTGGAATCGAATGTTGTCGCGCTCCAGACATGCTATAGATTTATAAAATATAATGTTAATGAATTTTTTTGGGGAAAGTCAATTCGAGATGGAGAATTGAAAAATAATTTATTAGATATTATTATTCGATACATAAATGCATCTAAGTGAATTATTCAAACTTTTGATTTGAATTGTCTTATTATTTTTAGCTTCTTAATTCATTCCCTAAAATTAAGAAAATTGTCCAAACAAATTGACAGTTGAAAAATCGCGGTATAAAATATCAACCATTAGGGCTTAAATATTTTATAAGTGTTTTAAACTATGCCTATATTTTTAGCATTCGTTAATGTCCATCACAATGCGCTATATGTAGTGATTGTACATATATTATACTATAAACAAAAATCATTAGATGGAAAATAGTAGGCCCATCCATAAACCGACTATATTGGGAGAACTTTGATGTAGACATGATGCAAATAAGTATTGCTGCATTTAAAATAGTATTCCCTACATAGAAATAAGAAAGATTTTGTTCTCAAAATTAACGATTTTGAAAGTGATTGAAGGAATTTAACAAAAAATAGTTTAAGATCGCATACAAACTAACATTTCAAAATTAATTGAAGGAATTTAACAAATAATAGTTTAATAAAAATCTTCGAATATTGAACTTCTTGTTTAATATAATATCTGTATCGTATAGACTAAAAGAAAGTGCATAATATTATCTCTTTCTGAGCCTTTAGTGGAGGCTTGAAAAATTCAATATCATGTTATTGTTAATTTCTATCACTCGTCATTTTCCTTCAGAGACTCATGATAAGTTCAACTCGATATTTATATTAGAGAGTTTCATAAAATAATTAAATGATCAATGTAACATAATTGAATATTTAAAATCCATGTACGATATTTAGATACGTATATTGTGTTCCTTTAGGAACACTTTCATATTTTTAGACATAATTATTATGAATAAAGTCGTTCTTTCAAATAATAAATCAATATTCTTCTAGAATGATGGAACATTTGCTTCTTCAAGAGTATTAACTCAGACTTAGACTTGTTTAAAGTTAATTATCAAGATTAAGAATATTGATTCGTACAAAATTTTGATTTCTTCAAGGTCGTCAAAATATTGTTATTGAACATTTACATAATTGAGTTGCATTGTGTTTCTTTAGTTCATCGACACAAGTTTTTCATACTGTTCTCATTAAGTTGTGCTTCTTAAGGAGAAAAAAGATAATAACATTTGGAAATATATATAAGAGTATAATGCTTTTTTACGAGCATTAATACAATTTTCTTTAAGATAGAGTAAAATGACTCATTTGTTCTTTGCATTTTCAAATAATCAAAATAAATAATATTGCAAAAAATCATTAAATATTTTACTTTCATTTTAAAGCATGTTAACAATAACTTTGGACGAAAATCATGATTAATGATAAAATTTTCAGATTAATAAAATGATAAAAATAAGAATGTGAGAAGAAAAGTTAAGTATATAAATCTAATAGTGAATAAGATTAATGAACTTTAATATTATTAAAATGTGATGCATTTATAAAAAATTGTAGCGTGAATATCACTCTTTGTATTCATCGACTAGGATTTTGTGAAATTACAAAAAGGGACTTTGACAGAAAAAAAAAACAGAGAGATTCGGTAACCAGTGTGAACGCGTGACTAAAACCTAAAGAAGTCACAAGTCATTGGTCGTGACTTCTCTCACGCTTTTCAGCGGCTCCAATGAGCATCGGAGTCAAGTCCTTTGGTCTCCTTCTCCTTTTTTCCAGTCCAATCTTCGTTTGCACTTGTATGCAAGCTCCACCAGTTAAATTCAAAAGGAAAAAAATTAAGAAAAAATTAAGAAAAAAATGTCATGAAAAATTATTTATTTGACCCCGGAAAAATGATGAATGATTATAATATATTTATGTGACCATTCCAGTCTCCTAGCAAATTCCCACTATACATCAAAATTCCATCGTTCACACCACCTGGTAATTTTCCTTTTCCCTGTCTTTCGTAGGCTTTTCTGTTGTCGTTTCTATCTGAACGCTGAACTGAACATTTCTATTTATGTATGTGTATTTGTAAGTTCTTTATTGTGTGTTACTAAATAATTTCTGCTGGTGGCTTTCTATATATTAAACGAAGACTTCTTTTATTGATTTCATATGGAAGTTATGATCAGGGGTTCTTGACTCTCGGACCATTTGGAGAGTTTTGATGGAATTTGGTGGTATCACAGGTGGGCTTCTCTGGTAAACTGAAGTGGGTTTTGATCTCTTCTTACTGATTTCATGACTCTTGAGAAGGAAAGAGAATTTAATATTCCTATGTTCTGATTTTCTCTGTAAAATCATCTGGCGTTTAGTGTTTATTGGTTGCTGCTGTTGTTATCCTTTCTGTGTTATTTATCAGTATTTATTTATTTATTTATACTTTCACTTGCTTGGGATTTCTTATTGTCAAATTGAGTAAATTCAATTGAACAAGTGATTAATTGTCCTTCTATAATAGATTACTGATACTGGTAATTTTATTCTATTGGTGTTATCTTGATTGAAACTCCAGCCAATTCAGTATTTATATAGATGATTTAACATCTTTGTTAAATTTATGAATATTCTACATATCAAACTTGCCTTGCCTTGTCCTTATGTTCTCCTTGCAGTAATTGTGGGTTTAGATTTCTCTGCATCTCCATTTTAATTGTTGCCATACTTTGGGATGACAGTTCATTGTGTCCTAATTATCTTGTTTCCTCAGCCCCAATACTGTTTTAGGATATCATGTAGAGTTTGAAATATGTTTAATTGAATTTTGAATTTGTTTCAGGGATCAAAGTTATGACACCTATTACTTTGTGGTTGGATTAACAATTCTATGTTCCAATCAACATCTTCAGTAGATTCTTATACTCGGGTTTTTTCTTTTGGATAATGACTGCTGTATTCATGGGGCCGACATTTGGTTTTAGAGTTCACTCAACTTTTATTAGAATTTTTCTTTTGTTGATTTTGAGAGGATATCTTACCTACTCGACTCAAAGTGATATTAACTGCCTCAGAGCTATAAAAGATTCTTTGGAAGACCCAGATGGCTACCTCACGACATGGAACTTCGATAACAAGACTGAAGGTTTTATATGTAAGTTTATTGGAATCGATTGTTGGCATCCGGATGAGAACAGGGTCTTGAATATTCGGCTTGGGGATATGGGACTAAAGGGTAAGTTTCCTCTTGGTGTTGCTGGTTGTTCATCCTTGACAGGCTTAGATCTTTCTAGTAACAAGATTTATGGAAGTATTCCAACTAATATCTCTAAGTTACTTGTATACGTGACAAGCCTTGATCTCTCATCCAACCAATTATCCGGACAGATCCCCATGAATCTTACAAATTGCACTTATTTGAATGTCCTTAAACTTAACAACAACCAGTTGTCGGGCCAAATCCCTGCTCAGTTTGGTCAACTCGATCGATTGAAGGAATTTAGCGTGGCAAACAACAGATTGACTGGCCAAGTTCCACAATTCGGAAATCGTACTTTTGGTCCAGATAGCTATGCGAATAATGCAGGACTATGTGGTGGTCCTTTGCCTCCTTGCCGAGGTTCTTCAAAGAAAACTAACGGTGCAGCCATTGTAGGGGCGGCTGTTGGTGGGGTGACTTTTGCAGCTTTCGTTGTTGGCTTTGGCATGTTCTTCTATTTGCGTAAAGTGTCCAGAAAGAAGAAGGAAGAAGATCCTCTAGGCAACAAATGGGCAAAGAGTATCAAGGATGTCAAAGGCATCAAGGCAAGATACATTTACATTTTATTGGAAATTTTACTCTTGACATATAACAAATCATTGGGAAATTTGTTGCCTAGGTCTCAAACTTTAAAAAATAAAGCACGTAGCTCCAAATAAATTTTTTAACCTTTAGGTCCCCAAGATTTTATTTTTGGTGCATGTTGATCCCCATACGATGGAAACCGTCATTTTTTCTGTGGAACAATCACATGCATTGCACATGATGAGTTATTTGTGGGTTATTTTCTCAACCAACTCCATTTCCATCAAAAACAATTAAAAGGGGGAATAAGACGAAGGCCTTAAGGTTAGCACTCCATTTTCCTTTTTGTTTTGATAAGTTTGACAGAAATGTGGTGGGTTGACATAAATAACCCTTAAATGAGGCATTGGGTGCAAAGTATGTGATTTTTTGACGAAAAATTGAGTGTGTCCATCCAACAGGGCTACCTTGCACCGAAAATCAAAGTACCTAAGTGCCAAAGCAAAATTGATTGGGGACCCATATTCTCTATTTGTCTATATTCGAGGACCATGGATGCAAATTCCCCTGAATGATTTTGTCAAGCTTCATACTTTTTGGTGTCACTTTCTTATATTACATGAATAATTTTTCTTCTTTTATCTTTTGCATACAAGGAATGAATTACTAACAGTCACATTTCCTGCTTTCAGCTATCAATGTTTGAGAAGTCAGTTTCTAAAATGAAATTAGGAGATCTCATGAAGGCTACTAATGACTTCAGTAAAGAGAATATAATTGGGTTGGGGAGAGCTGGGACAATGTACAAGGCAGTGCTCGAAGATGGCACCTTCCTCATGGTGAAGCGACTGCAGGATACTCAATACCCGGAGAAAGAATTTGTGTCTGAGATGGCTACTCTAGGTAATATAAAACACCGCAACTTGGTTCCGCTTCTAGGTTTTTGTATGGCTAAGAAGGAAAGACTTTTGGTTTACAAGTACATGCCAAATGGTAGCCTCCATGATAAGCTACATCTTGTAAAAGATGGTGGCGAACTTATGGATTGGCCTTTACGGCTCAAAATTGGGATTCTGGCAGCGAAAGGATTTGCATGGCTCCACCACAGCTGTAATCCACGTATTATTCACCGAAATATAAGTTCCAACTGCATCTTACTAGATGCGGATTATGAACCCAAAATATCCGATTTTGGGCTTGCTCGGCTCATGAATCCTATTGACACTCATTTGAGTACTTTTGTGAATGGTGAATTCGGGGACTTGGGTTATGTTGCTCCCGAATATGCAAGAACTCTGATGGCCACTCCCAAAGGGGACGTCTACAGTTTTGGAGTTGTACTTCTCGAATTAGTAACAGGCGAGAAGGCAACCTATGTGGCTAAAGCCCCGGAAAGCTTCAAAGGAAATCTAGTTGATTGGATTTCTGAGCTGTCTAGGACCTCTGACCTTCACGATGCAATTGATAAGTCCTTAGTCGGGAAAGGTCATGATAATGCGCTTTTCCAGTTTCTTAAGGTTGCGTGTAGTTGTGTGCTGCCAGCTCCCAAAGAAAGGCCTACTATGTTTGAAGTCTACCAGCTTTTGAGAGCTATTGGACAACCGTATAATCTCACAACAGAAGATGACATCTTGTTGCCGTCGGACAATGGAGATGCCGATCAATTGGTCGAACTTATCGTTGCTCGAGATGTATAGGAGATCTGTTAAAAATGCAAATGAGATATAGTGGTGATTGAAATTGTAATCGTACATTGGCTTTTTTGATTGATTTTGTTTTGTTTAGAATAAGGTTTGCAAGATTTGGTTAAGAATTCCTGTCAGCAGACATACGATAATCTCTTACCTTATATGTAAAAATTATTAATTTTCAGTCAGATGAGTATTGATCGGAGGGACTTCTATCTATCAATCATGAATAACTATCGTTCTTTTGCAGTCGAAGTTGTAGCCTGTCCATCGACAATTGAATGTGTCGACTTGGTTAGATTCATTCACGATCAGTCGAAAAGTCTCGTGTCATCTTCGTACCTCAATGTGATGCATGCCAAGTTAAGGATTGTCCATTTCTTTCTTTTGACAATGCCACTTTGTTGAGGGGAATATGGTGTTTACATTCATACACCTTTTTTTTGAGGGGTTCCCATACTCCTTAAATAAGGTAGCCTGTACTAAAGACGAAGTATTTCCACAGTACGATTTTACACTCTCTCACCCGCAAATTTAAGGTTTTCATTTTTGGATCCAAAAAGTTAAAAATAAAAAAAGTTTTATGTACTTAGGTTCGGATTGTAAATCAAGATTAAGAACATTGCCCTTAATAGTGGAAAAAAATGTATATCTCGATTTTTGAGAAAAATATAAATTTTGAAGAAATATATTTAGATTATTAGTTGAATTGAATTGAATCAAGCCGATTAGAAAAAATAAAAAATGGGAATATTTAATTGTTGACAAGGAAAAAGATTATTGACCACGAGTTGAGAAAGTAATTATTCTCATGGAACTATAATGGTAGCTGATGATGCCAAAAATCGTATTTGGTAGATCTTGAGCTTGAGGACTGAGATGAGTACGGATAGCGTCTTTCAGTACCTGAAATAAAGGCAGCGAAATCAAACAAGAAATTTATGTAAAGAATATATATGATGAAATTGTATGTAAAAACGTACTTGAATAATGAACATTGATTCTGTATTTATAAACGTTGGTGGTTGAGTTGTAAAAGGATTCAACCACTTAGAGTCATTATCCTTATCAAATAAGAGTGATTGAGTTATATTATAATTACTCCTTGATGTTTGACATGGACTGTAATATGTTTGATGTTTGGATAAAGATGAATGTAGAGAGTTTGAATTATAAGATGACTAAAACACGTAAAAGGCTCGAGACGAGGACAATATTTTGGCATGTGGACCCGACCACATGTTAGAGGATATTTGAATATGAGAGTAGTCAAGGTATTGACCTGGGACCATGCTTGAAAGTTCGGGGTCGGGCTATAATTTTTGTACACATCAGTAGCCATATCATATTTTGCTCCTGTTTATCAAAATCTTTGAGTATTAATGGCTTCATATAACGGTAATAATATCGTATTTTGCTCCTAGTACTTTTTTCATTATGACTTGGAATTTTGATCAAAAATCATATCCAATCAAAGCAATTGAACTAATTAACCAATATGTTTTCAGTTCTAGTTACAAATTTAATTTCACCTGGTTCTTAAATCAAGAAAATCATATTTAAACAAACTAGAATTGAACTAATTGACCAATCTGTTTTCAATTATAATTGAAAATTTAATTTCACTTGGTTCTTAAATCGATAAGAAATCAAAATTTAATTCCATAGCAAAATTTTATTGTCATAATCTCGACATTAATTTATCAATTAAATTTATTTAAATGAATTTACATATATTACTAAGTATTCATAATAACAGCACTTTTGTTACTTAAAATTTTTTTAAAAAGAAAACATTAAAATGGAACAAGAAAATTTACAGTGAAGTTTAAATGTAATAATCAATTTTTGAACCATTGGAGGAAAAGAAATTAGACAGAACCGTACTATTCGAATGAAACCGGGCAAGCAATGATATTTAATAATGGGCCGGAAAAAGGTCGAGCTGTGGGCTTTAATCTGCATCCCAACCAAAATGAGTTCTTTAATCAAAGTGGAGGTTGAAGGTTTGGAATGTCTGCCTTCGCAAGGAATTAACCAGGCGCTGCTTCTCCCTCCT